AATTACACTCTTATGAAAAGAAATTTACAAGAGAAAATGATCAAGTAAAATCTAGAATCGACTATATCTGGGTATCTAAAGTTCTAGGCCAAGGCCTCACCTATTGCAATATACTTGAAGCAGATATAGTTACAAATAGTGACTATACTATTATAATCACAAAAATGCTAACAGGCATAAAGAAAAAAACTAGATCTTTGCTTGTGAAAAAAGACTAAAAAGGAAAAGATAGTTATTCTTTCTTGACAAAGCAATAGAAGAAAACTAGGAGGATTATAAAACAAAACTAGACAGTTTACTCAAAAAGAAGCTGAACATTATAAAAGATGAGTATGATCTAGCTCATCTAGAGATATTAAACAAAGATAACTGTAGGACATAATCATAACAAATATAATTAAGTGTGTAAGATTAACTCTTCTAGAAAAGAAGTCTACAGTAGGAAAACCTATCCTAAAAAAAAAAAAAGAGAGCAGAAATATTAAGAAAGACCTAAAGATAATTAGAAGCATGTGTTAATAATACTCTTCAAAAATAGGTCAGCATATCGACAGCACAAATAAGCAATTAATGAATATAAAAATAGCAAGAATAAATAGTATATATGAAACAGAAATAGAAGAGCTCTCTGAAACTATATAGATCAAAAAAAGACATGAAGAGTTAAAGGTATAATGGAAGATTATATATTTAAAAGTTTAGCAAGCAAAAAAAAAGAAGATCTCGAAGAAATTAATATAGCAGTTAAACATCACTATGAAGCAATACAAGGAGAACTCAAATATATGATAAGTAGCCTACTTGAAAGATCTTTAAAATAAGTAGTCATAGACAAAATTATCAAAGAGAATAACGCAGAAATAGTACTAGTGAACCAGAAAGAAGTACTAAAAGAAGTGAAAAATCATTTCAAAAAGCAATTCTGCAAAAGAAATACCTGTGGCTTAGATATGCCAATTAGATAGAAAAAAGTATATAACCTACTAGAAAGGGTAGACAGCAAAATATATGATAACTTAGAAGATGAGATCTCTAAAGAGAAATAGTTAAAGGCACTTAAAAAGACAAAGCCTAAGTCTGCACCAGGTCCATCTGGTATAAGCTATCTACTGATAAAAAAAGCAGGTACAATAGCACAAAAAATATTCGAATACCTCGCTAATCTGTATATTAGAGAAGAAGAAATCTCATCTAAATAGAAGCTCAGCCAACTATACCTAATTTCTAAAGGAGAGGATTGGAATTATAACTTGTCTAATACTCATCCAATTGTTTTAATTGAAACTTTCTACAAAACAGTAGTAAGAGTTCTAATATACAGACTAGACAAGACTCTAGTAGACTTTAACATTCTAGAAGGTTTTAATTATGTTGAGCTTTTAGGTAATAGTACAATGAGCTTAATTCATATAATGAACAATCTGCTCAAGGATGCAAAACAAAAAAACAATAAGCTATAGATTCTATTCTAAGATATGCGGAAAGCATTTAACCTTGTAGGTCTAAAAATGCTAGAGAAAGCTTTAAAAAGAATTAAGCTTCTAGAAAACATGATTAATCTCATATTAAACTTGTACAAGAAAAGAAGAATCAAAGTGATTACAAGCTTCAAACTAACAAATAAATTTGAAGCTAAAGATAGACTCAACCAAAGAGAAGTAATCTCACTTTTAGTCTGGCATATCTTTTATGACCCACTTCTATATATAGTAAATAGTACAAAAAATATAGGATATCAGATGATAACAAACTGGTTAACAGATATAGCTCATAACAAAACCAAAAGACTAGCATACCAACAAGCTGTACTTACTTATGCAGACGATACAACTTGAATAGCAAGATCCAAAGACGGGCTACAGAAAATAGTAAATATCTCAACTGAGTTCTATGAGATAAATAATATTGAAATAAATAGTAAAAAGTCAGAGCTAATAGTTGTGAATGCCAAGAAAAAAAGAGAAGAAAAAGAGTTACTAGTGATTAAAGTAGGAAAGAATCAGAATCTAGTCCTTGTAAAAAAAGATAAAGATATAGTAAGATACTTAGGAGTATAGATTTCAGGAAAAAAAACAACATTATAGCCTAAATATCATAAGAAACGAAATGAGCAGAATGTGCAAAGCCATAAGGTGGAAAAAAGCATTAGCAAGCCAGCTCATAAACTTAAACAACAGTATCTTACTATCTAGTATAGAATACAGACTACAAACAATATTTATAAGCAAATCAAAATATGAAAACTTACAAAGACCAATTTGGACTTTAATCAAAAACAAACTTGAGCTAGCTAAATTAATAGCAAACTCAATTTGCAGCCATATAGGTTTCTTAGGTATGAGATTAATCTGACAAAACCAGCTTGCATATCACTTTACAGAGCTTACTCTACATCTCAACTAGCAAGGTCCTCTAGGAATAACAACAAGATTAAAAGTTAAAGAAGGACAACTATGAGCCAAATATTTATGCAGCATTCTGCGCAAGAACTATAAGTTTAATAAGCCAGTTCCTACAAATAACTTAGCTGTAAAAGTATTACATGAAGCAGCTAAACTAAATATAAAGATCAATGAGATCTTAAAAAACTCTGATACCTTAAATATTAAAGGAACAAAAATATCAAGCTTAATAGATACAAAGAAGTTCTGTACCTTCTTAAACCTAGACAAGATGAACCTCTTTATACTAGAACAGCTTATAAATAGTGCAGGAAGTCACCTGCTAACCTAGAATCAACTAAAGTACATAAGAGGTAGAAAAACAAAAGGCAGTACTCCAAGCTGGTTTAAAAAACTCAAAGAAAAAATACTGAAAGAAAACAGCTCTTGAGAAGTACAAGATTTCTACAAAGTAAAAAGTTCTAATAGAGAAGCAATAAAAGCTCAACTGCAAGTTATCTTCAAAAATAAATAGAAAAAAGAATAGGTACTTTTCAAAAGAAGAGAAGATTTCCACATAGGAAAAATAGCAAGGAAAATAGAGAAACTTGTAGTAGTTAAGCATTGGAGACAATCAAGCCAACTAGCAGAGGCCTGCTTATTTGACAAGTATAGCTATTGCAACATAGGAAGTACTAGTGTCTAGTAAGTATCAGATATAATGAAAGATCTCAGATAGCAAGGTAAAGAAAACTAATGGAAAAGAAGTAATACTGAGAGCACCACTATCAGCACTTATTGAGGATAAGGAATCTTGCACAAATCATAAGGCAGACCAAGAAGTATCAGTAAAAATCACAGCAAATAACTTCAAAAGTGCAATCATACAAAGAGTAGTAGAGAACAAAAGGTTCAAAAGAGAGCTAGTAGACGTATATGAGAAGCTAAAAGAGGAGGAAGTTATTAGGTATTATGCAGATGGTGCACTAGCAGGAAGTAGCAGAGAGTTGGGATTAGGTAGAATGGGAGCTGGTTAGTTAGTCAGAAATAGAGAGTGAATAATATATAGTTATTGGATGCGAAGCATCCAATAACTGGAGTTATTGGCATTCTGTAATGATAATCTCGTGATCTGCGTGATCACAATATTATCATTTTACATGACAAATAATGGAAAGTATTTGGGCCAGAATTTGGCCGGGAGATGGCTGGGCCCCTACGGGGCCCAGCTATCTCCTGGTCAAATTCTGGCCCAAATACGACAGTTATTAGTGCGTAGTATCTAATAACGGTATTATTCAGCATCTGATGACGATCGGGCACTTACGATTCGAATAAGTTTATTAATAATAAAATATGTAATTATGACTTAAGCTTAGAGCTTATATGACGATAAATATATAATATCAATTAAATAAATAAAATTATATGAAAGTCTAATTTTAAAAGACTTTTTTTAATATAAATAATTAGTTTAATGATTTAAAATTTATTAGATCTCTTCTTTCACTTATTTTTATTGCAAAAAAAAAAAAATATTTATTAATAAAGTTAGATACTATAAACCTACTGAAGAAGAAATCAATAAAATTATAAATGGAACAATATCTCAAAATACATGTAAGGCTACAATGAAGTAGGTAAAGATACTTGAAAACTGGAGATCAGAAGTAGGCTACAATTATGGAATTGAGACAATAAACAATAGGCAACAATTAGAACATGAAATAATCAAATTTCTTTTAGGAATTAAACAAATTTATACTCAAGCAGAATATTTGCTATCTTCACTAATGAATTGTATAAAGTTACTAAGTATTTATATATTTAAACATTCTAGATCAGCTAATAAATTTAATATAAGTAACTGTAAAGAATTTCCTCAATTATGGGAAGCATTAAATGGCAAAATGAAACAGTTGAAAAAATAAGGAATTGTATCTCATCATCATGATTACTTAACTGAAGATGAACTAAAAAAAATCTTTAAACACTCTGCTCTTTTGATTAATACCTCTGAAGGATTAATCTATTGTATTTTTATGTGGTGTTGTCTTCTTTTTCAACTACGAGGTGGAGAGCATTATAAAATATTAATATCTTAGTTTACTTTTATATCTAATAGAGGAATGTAATTTATAAAAAACTATCAAAAAAATGATCAGAGTAGAATAGATAGTTGTTCTGATGCTCTTATTATTCCTATTCGACCTGATCCTGAGAACTACTGCAGCCCTATTTATGATTTTAAATATTATTTTTCTAAACAGCCAACAAATTCTAGTTGTTTTTCTTTTTATTTAAAAATTAACAAACAAGTGAAAGGTAATTTATTATTATTAATAATTCTATAATTTATATAACAATAATACTACTAACTAATCTTTTTATTAAAGATCTTTTAAAGAATGAATAGTATATTGATACTCTGTTAGGTAAAAAAACATGTAGATCATTAAGGAAAAATATTTGTAATGCAGTTGATATTGACTTGAAAGGTCAAGATATTGTTAACTATTCTAGTAGATTTATACCAATTACCTTTCTATTCCAGAAAGGAGTTCTAACAATTACTACGATATTATTAACTGGACATAAAAGTGAGATATCATACAGGATTTATGCATGACCATCACAGCAACAAAAAGAAGATGTATTATTATTATTAATAAATAATGTTGGAACTTTACCTTTGAGGAATTCAGAAACTTCAAGCAATTTGGATTCTTTAAACAATTCAGAAACTTCAAAT